AGGGCCTATGGAACTGTATGATGAAATAATAATAAAAAATAAATAAAATTTTAAAAAGAGAGGGATCCTTGAACCATATTGAAAGAGAGAAAAAGCAGCTTGTTGCAGGATCTCAGCCCAAAGTAGAGTTCCAACAGTAGCTCTACTGGTGACAGCTTCCTGTTTTCTTTGCTAATGGCCTTTCACTGCTTGCAGGACTTCCCAGCTTTACCCACACCAAATGTCTCCAAGCACAAATTCTGCCTTGCACACTAGTGAAGATAAAGAAATGTAAATTTTTATTCTTCCTTTTAACTCTGCTTTGTCCCATCACCTTCACAGATTCTCTGTTAAATTTCAAATTGTGATCCCAATGCTACAGCACAACAGAGAAACATTTGGGGCAAGGAGCGGTAGGAATGAGGGAACCAAAATAGTTTATCTTCCAAGAGTTATTAATCACACACAATATGAAGAAGGGTGTAAAATAAAAAGCGAGAAATCAGGAAAGCAAGAAAAAGAAAGAGAAAAAGAGAAAAAGACAAAAGGAAATCCAGAGGAGGCTCTGACTACTTTAGAAGTCTGTTCTGCATCCATTACATCCATGTACCTTGCCCAAAGACCTTGCTTTATTGTCCATTTTCATGCAATACTAATAGGGAAATTACAGTTATTATTATTAATTATTATTTTGAATTTTTTAGTGATGATGTTTACATAGTTGGTTAGGGTATTTTATCAGTCTTATCAATATTTTTAAAACCAATAAACTTCCATGGACCTGGCGAGATAGCCTAGTGCCTACATCCTTGTCTTGCATGTGGTGGGATCCCATATAGATTCTGTGTCCATGTCCCATCGAGCTCCCTGCTTGTGACCCGGGAAAGCAGTGGATGATGGCCCAAAGTCTTGGGACCCTGCACCCATGTGGGAGACCCGGATGATGCTTCTGACTCCTGGCTTTGGATCAGCTCAGCTCTGGCCATTGCAGCTACTTGGGGAGTGAACCAGTGAGTGGGAGATCTTTCTCTCTGTATATCCTTTTCTCTGTATATCTATCTTTGCAGTAAAAGAATAAAATAATACAATCTTTAAATGTAATTATCAGAACTACAAAACGGATTTATATATATGGTTATCATGGCAAGATATGGGCATAAAGGATGAGACAGATGTAAGAAATCTAAGGTACAACCCTAGGATTGCCCTTAATTAAATTGAGTTGTATTAGAGGCTTTTGCTAAGTAAGTAGAATTTAGTTGTCTTTCTGACAAAAAGAAAAAGCAATACAAAACATGTAAAATGATACCTATATTTGCTTTGGTATAGTAATAATTTTATTTTCTACAGGTATCCATAATATTACAAATATTAAATAAAATGAAAATTAAATAAAAATAAAAATATTTTTGCTATATCTTTATTATTTTTCACATCTTTTTAATTTTTATTATCTTGCTGTACTATGTATTCTTTCAAATCCTTTTTAATCCCTTTGGAGAAATGGTGGAATCAAAAGTTATAAAATAAATGGATGACATAATAGTTGTGCCATCAATTCTTTTTATTATTATTATTATTATTATTATTATTATTATTATTATTATTTTATTTGGAAAGTCAGATATCCAGAGAGGAGGAGAGACAGAGAGGAAGATCTTCTATCCACTGATTCATTCCCCAGTTGGCCACAATGGCCGAAGCTGAGCTGATCCAAAGTCAGAAGCCAGGAGCTCTTTCGGGTCTCCCATACGGATGCAGGGCCCCAAGGCCATGGACTGTCCTTGACTGCTTTCCCAGGCCACAAGCAGAGAGCTGGACGGGAAGTGGGATTGGTGGGGTATGAACCAGAGCCCATATGGGATCCTGGGTGTGCAAGGCGAGGACTTTAGCTGCTAAGCTAACACGCAGGGCCCTCCACCAATTATTTATGTATAAGACTTAGTGAACATGAATTGTTTAATATTTCTGTGTACTGTTACTATTCTAGGCAACCCACAGATATCATCTTAATTTTTCAAATAGTCCTGGGGACTAGGAATAGTAACTGATGCAATCACAAAAATACAATTCAAATTAATAACAGTAGGACAACTTCTCCTTAATCTGTTCTCTCATTCTGGACTGATCTTCTCCCAAACCTTTCACTCATAGGCTCAGAAGTAAGCTATTCTGTACTATTCTTATTTTCTTATTACCTGAGAACATAGAGCAAAAGTTATTTTAACTCATCTCCATATTCCTAACTAGTCTAGAGAAAGGCACTGATAACCAATATTTATTGAATTTAAATAGTGAGGTAATGTGTGAATACATAAAATATCCAACAAATGTATAATAATTAAATGGCACTGATAACTAAAAATTCGCCCAGAATGTTAAAATTCTGGTCTTGATGTACGATGTCTATGGGTTATCACAGCATGTACATAAAGGGAGGTCACATACTTGGAGACTATAACCTCAGACAAGCCTGACAGAAGTTCTGGTGAGCGAATCTTACAAAGCATCTGGAAAGTCTGTCGGCACATAAAGGGACCACATTCTGAACTCAGAGCTTAGAGTTGCAAACAGTCTTCGGGGTAATATCCATAGCAAAAGAGGAAAAAAACTCCTATGACTCAGGTGAAAGGGTAGCATTTTGATTTATGGATAAGTCTGAATAAGGAAGAAGCTCCCTTATAGAACCAGAATAGTTAAAGGATTAGGTGCAGGGAGCCACACCCAACACTGAGAAGTGCCAAGAAAAATCGTAAGGACATCAAGAGAGAAGCATTGGAAACTAAGAACTTGGGTTGATTGATGAAAAGGCCATGACTTCTGGGGACTGGCAAAGGAGAGGGTGCTTGTCTGGCTGATGTATGTCAAATGAAATAAGCTTAACCTTGAAGTCCCCTTCCTAATTCTGATTTCATGTGTTTATCCAGCCTCAATCTGTTGTTAATTTAGTTTTCTGACTTGGCATTCCTACTGAAAAGAGAATATATTGACAGGCCAACACACATCTGAGTCCACTTGGCAGTGCTGTTTCTCTCCATAAATTATTAAATTGGCTTTTGGACACAAATCTGTCCCTTGTGAGTTTGGGCTATGTGAGCCAGTTTCCTAGGGTATGATCTGAACAAAGAAAGTTTCAGAGTTGCTGAGCTTTAAAGCTAAACTTTTTGAGAGTGGGAGAAAAGGAACCCTTTTCTGATAATTAACTATCATCACGACATCCTACATTTATTTCACTAGCAACACCTTAACATTTCAAGAAGAAAGCCTATCAGTATACCATATTTCTCTCTTGCGTGCAAGTAGCTTCTTCTGTCGTCTGCCCTAAAAAGGGAAGCAAAAGAAAATTGGAGGTCAGTTTCCCAATTCATGTAAAAAAAAATTTTTTTTTTAAATCAGCTCAAGTGATTTTGCATGCTAACTGGGAAAATTAAAGCTGTACACAGACCAGAAACAGCTTATAATTTAACAGTTAAGTCCAATTAATTTTCACAAGAGAGTCCTCCAGTTTTTGAGTATGTCCGATGGTCTAGGAATTGATACTGTCTGAAATTAAGTAACAACTAACCTATTCATAACAATAAAAAGTACTCACTGGGACTGACATTGTGGTACAGTGAGTTAAGTTGTTGCCTGAAATGCAGACATCCCATTTGAGCAATGGTTCAAATCTCATTCTACTTCCGTCCTAGCTCCCTGCTAATGTGTCTGGAAAAGCAGTAGATGATGCAAGTGCTTGGGTCCCTGATACCCAAGTGGGAGATTTTGATGGATTTTCAAGCTCCTGGTTTTTGTCTGGGCCAGCCCTGGCCACTACAACCATTTTGAGAATGAATCCGAGATTGAAAGACCCCTCTCTCTCTCTCTGCATGTGTGTTTCTCCATCTATTTCTTTGTAATCTTCACATTAAAATAAACAAAATCTTTTTTGAAATCATACTCAGGTATCCCATTTTAAAACTTCACTATTATTATTATTTTACAATACTCTAGGTATAGTAGTTTTTCCCTCTTCCTTCTCTTCCTCCCTCCCAGTTTCCACTTCTCCACTATTAGCCCCCAAATTATCATAATCGCATAGTTCCTTGATAACAGTTACAAGATTAATTTACTGCTTTTTATGTGTATCATGATATGGTAGGTATGGGTAGAGGTAAAAAATCTAGTATCTTGCTGAATAGACATATTTGCATGTTTCAAAATGAGAGTCCTACTGTAGTTAGGAGTAGAGACACATGCAATAAACGAACTTTACTTGCCAGTGTGCTGGTCTCTGTTATATCATTCATCTGTGAGTGTATTGTATATTTACTTGATAACCTGTATCTATTTGATTTGTAATTTTACTATATCAGAGAGGACATATGGTAACCCCTTTTTGCCTATAATTCTGAATTCTTCTCTTCTTCCTATACCCTATAGAAATTTATTTTTATGGGTGTACTGTATCTTCCCAATAATGGAAAAATATATTAATTGGTATTTCAAAAGCTTTTGGTTTCTTTAAGTAGTTATAAATTGGGAATGGTAGGTTCTGCTGAGGGCATCATTCATCACTATGTTCTGTGTTTCCTGTTAATGCCTAAGAGTCTTATCTGCTCTTATATCACAAAAAAGCTTATATTTTCCCTTCTGGTTTAATTTGATTTTACGTATACCAATTGTGTAATCTGTTATAAGTTGTCATGCATATCTCTTCAAACAGTCTTTTAAAAATCCTGGTTTGGAGGAATTGGAGCTTTTCTGTTATTAGCCAAATCCTCTTCATATTTTGCTTGAAAATCATACTTTCATTATGGAACCTACTGGAATGCAGTGACTCCAATGGGCATATGAACTATGGTGGAGATAATTCGGGGAACTTGAGGAAAGCTGGCATGCAGTCATAATTTTAGTGTATGTAACCTATGACAAATGCTTTGAATTTCTCTGCACCAATGAAATAAAAAAGAAATAAGACTATAGTAGCGTCATCAGCTCAAGGGACTTACCTTCAGTCTGCAAAAAGGTTTCTGTGGTGAGACTAAAAAAACGTAGTCAACTTCCTCTTTCAACAACAAATTGGTTTAGTTATCAGACGAATCTGAGCTACTCAGGACTAGTATATTTACCCCTACATTCCTGCAAAGAAACAAGAGTGTTTATTCCAGCTGAATTCCAGGGTAAGTAACAGCCTACCTATTTATAGGGATTGGTGATTTCTTCTGGGAGGTCTAATGGGAGAATGGAAATCAAGATAGAGGGCAAATAGGTGGGGCATTCTCTGAACTGAAATGTTTACCAGTTTCTCATCTCAGACTTCTTACAGCAGGAATAAAGATGGTTGCCTTTGAATCTGACCAGAGTCCAAAGATAGGATTAAAGCTGCAATCCTCACCAGTGCTCGAGATTCATGGAGAACTTGATCTAGTTCTCTCTTTGCTGAGGCTCTTTGTAGACCAGGTACCTGGAAAAAGAGCACACACTTAAGAGTGTGCATTGGGATTCTTTTGGACAATTCGTCATATTAAGGTAGTAGAAAATGAACTGAACTTTCTGCTCTGGATAGCTTACCAACAGCTATATAACAAAGGAAGATGGATGGCTATACTACCCTTGCTTTGGTAAGTTTGGGATTTAAACACACTGCGATCAATGCTAGGTTCTTTCAGGAAGGAGAAAAAAGAAACTTGGATCATGGATGTTGGAGTCCAAGGATTCTGAGAGACCAAAATTTTTAGAATTCATTTGGAAAAAATGGAGAGCCAGTGTAGCTTGGAGTCATCGGGCTGCTTGGTGGCAGAGCTGTAATTAGCACCTGTGTATTCTAATTCATGGTCCTGTTCCCATATTATAAACATTATCTATCACAGAATACTATGAATGTGTTTATGGTCTTAGATTTCAGGTGAAGAAAGGATAGACTACCCCAGGTAAACAGAGTCTTCTCAGAGGGATTCTTTCATTTTTTTTTAAGCTGTTGTGTCTTTAAGGATTTATTTATTTTTATTTGAAAGGCAGATTTTACAGACAAAGAAAGACAGACAGATCAGCTGGTCATTCTGCAAACGGCTGCAACACCAGGGCTGAGCCATTTTGAAGCCAGGAGCCAAGAGCTTCTTCCAGATCTGCCATGTGGATCTCAAAGCTTTGGGCTGTCCTCTGCTGCTTTCCCAGGCCATAAGCAGGGAATTGGATTGAAAGGGGAGCAGCTGAAGTATGAACCTGTGGATGTATGAACCATGCCTCAGGTGCAGCATTACTTGCTATGCCACCTTGGCATCTCCCAGAGCTATGTTTTGCTCTAATTTCAACCAGACTGTATAGCAGATCCCCCAGAGTGATATTTTCAGTAATTATTGCTGTTAATTACGAGTTAAAACACCTCACTGGCTCTGAGCTGAAATGATTGAGTCAAAACGAATCTTGCAGTTGGAGTTCCTGGAAGTTCACTCTGCCAAGTCAGTTAGCGCCAGGATCAGTCTGATTAGAATAACAGACTTTCTTGTGCTTTTAGGGGGGAGTAGTCTCGGCTCAAAGGATACTTGAGAGAATATTTCTATTTTGGTTGTTAAAAGTGATGAGATGAGTCATCCTCATTTTTGCTAATTGAGAATTTTATCTCTTAGCAATTGCAACACAGTAAAATTTTTCACCGCCGAAAGTGGGTTATATGATTGTAAAGTAGAACGAGGCCTAACCTATACTGAGAATCAGATCACACTTTCAAGGCAACTGTTTTTTTGTCATGGTTTCTGTTGAATAAAAATACAACTTCTTTTTGGGTTAAATTACAAGCCTTTAAAAGTTCAAGTTGCACAGACTGCCTAGATTCTAGCAGTAACAGAGCATAAGAAACCAAATAATTAAGCATACTTCTATGTGCTGTGGGGTTGCTCTTGGTGGCTAATTTTATTTGAGCTGTGTCATTTGTGGTCCTAAGAAACAGGTCATGTTGCTAGCAAGCAGAACAAAGCTATTGTGAAACTACCCTTTTTTTTTTTTAAATGTTCCAAGAAGCAGGTTATACTTTATATAAAAATATTGATCCACTGGCAAAGTGATGTAGTGAATAAATGGAGTGATGGATCAGTATACAAAAAATGAAGACACCTACACTATTGTCCAAGTTCTTCTTGTCACTCATCATGTGGCCCTGGGCAAGTGGCTTTGTTACAATAATTCTCAGTAATCTCACTTCTAAAAACAGGATAGGGGTTTGGAATTAATGGCATCTAATTTCCTTCCTAACAATAAAATTATTTGATTCTAGGCTTTTAAGTATCTGGGAAGTCATATGAAGTAGTGAATGTTGGGGCCATGGCAGATTGTTACTAGGGAAGGCCATCTGAAAATGGAATTCAGATCTCCAAAAGAATCTAGTAACTTTTCCCAATGGCCCTTCAACTTATTCCATAATATGTTACATAAGAGCTTTAATTTAGAATGCAAAATTATACTTTGTAAATTTAAAATTTTAGTTTAAGCTTTACCATTTCAAATGCTAAAACCCAAACAAGGAAATTTTTTTGAAATCAGATTTCCAGAATAGCAATGATTTCAGATTTTGTAGGCTTTAAAAATCAAGCCACATTTTGTGAAACATAAAAATTTTGCTACAAGATTATCATACACTGATCTTCCTAGGAACTAGACTCTGTGGCTGTGGAAGGTGTTTCATCACATTGAGTATTCTGAGTGCAACATTTGGAAAAAATTGTTTGTATTTCAGCAGTTTGTATTATAGGGACAGTAATTTTGACAAAATCTGAATGTATTTATTGTCATAAGGAATACATATTTTTAAGGAACATGTTTTTCACACTTCCACTTTAAGAATTATGCTGAAAACCTTTTCATCTTGTCTAATAACTGTGTTTTGGGGGGATTTTTTAAAACCTAGAAAAATGTGATCTATGCAAAAACTGTAGAAGATGACGCTATGAATGGGTAAACAGGAAATGAGCTCACATGTGTCTAATGCTTACTGTCCCTCAAACATGAACATAGATATTTTCACATACTTGTCCATTTAATCTTCCCAATGACCTATAATGCAGGAACATGACTCTGATTTTATAAATGAGTGAACCAAATTCCAGAAATATGAAGTGAATTGTTTTGTGCTGAAAAAACCAACCACTAAGACATGCCATGATCTGTCCAAACAGTATACTCATTTCCATCTATAAATGCTGCTTCCTAGTCAAAGGTAGTGCTAAACTTGTCATTCTTCTCAAAACATGAAAACTTTGGTAAAAATTTATTTATACATTTCTTTATATATATAATTATATAAAATATATTAAAATATATTATATATAATATATATTTATATATAAAATATAATATATATTTCATATATATATATGAAAGCTCCAATTCAAATTTCAAGAGTCATTTTATTTCATTTTAAAATAAATTTTACTTCCCTCATTTAACAGCAAAAAAAAATTTGTCTGGAGTTGCAGAATATATCCAAAGTTCTGTGCTTACAAGATCAATCATGGTTCTTTGAAATTGATTTGAATTAATTCAGGAACTAAAATCCCCTCTGATTGTAAGTGAATGAATGAAGAACACTGTGGTTATAAAAATTAGACTGGTTTGAGTAATTTATGTGGGCCAGATCAGAAAAAACAAAATAAATTCCCCCAAATGACCTGGGAATTGTCTCCTGGAGCGTCGGAGGGACTTTCATCAACGAGCTTCTATCTCTGTTTATTTTCTCCTTTTCCCAAGGTAATAAGCCCACAAGCCAGCCCTATCATGAAATAAAACAGAACAAGTACATTTGACAGATAGATTTGTTTAATGGTGTTAGTGACTTAATGATGAGAGATCAAAAGATGGAAAAGATCGAAAGGGTTGAGAATTGCAGAATTCTGACTAGGGAAAGATCAGTCTCCTTGATCTCAAAAATCTAGGCTCTTCACTCCTACATCCTGTTGCTTATTATTAGCTATTTGTAGTATGGGAACCATAATTTTGTTATTAAAATGAATGTTTTTCATAGTAATTATAATAAATAGTATACTTTTTCTTCAAAAACACCTTTTTCCAACCTTTCACTTTAAGAATCAATGCTGCAGACCTTGTAACTCTTTCTGTCTTAAGTATGGTTTTCAAGAATTTTCTAAACCCAGAAAGCTATATGCTCCAGTGCATCATCAGGTAAATGGGGTCACTTCTCGGAACCTCATTTTCCTATGGGTAAAACCTGGATGATACACCCTGATCTGTTCATTCATAATGCATAGTTTAGTAATGATTAACAGCAATCACACACACACACACACACACAGTCTTGAAAAAAACATCAGAAAAGTACGTATTACTAAAATATACTTGGTTTCACTTTTTTTTGTACCAAATTTTTCCACAAACTTTCTGATGTACCCTCATTTGTAGACACACACGCAATCTTCAAAAAATGCCGTTGAAAATGTGTGTTCTGGAAAAGCTATGCATATATTTAACAACATTTTGCACCAAAATAAAATTATATTTTGAATTAAATTCTTATGAATTTTTAAACACACTTTTAGATATATAAAATGTTTTGTAAAGTATAAATCTGCATGTTGATTGACGTGGTGGCAGTTGTATTAGTGATGTCCATGGCATCATTGGTAGTATGAGTCCAAGGCAAAGACAGAGAGGAACAATGCTCATAAAATCATCCCCATGTTTGGACTGAAATAGTTAAGACTCTCTAGTAAAAATAATTGTCTTTTAACAATGAAGGATATAAAGGGTTCACGCAAAAAAAAAAAAGTTGCTACTTGAACATTTCCTGGAATACAAGTGTCTCAGCTCCAAATCCAGTCTTTTCAATATTTTCTATCACATTTGTGCCTTGCAATTCTTACTCGATCCAGTTTGCTGTTGCTATAATGAATTTTTCCAGTACTTACATTTGCTGATCTATTATGATTTCACTCAAGCAAACTCCATAATGATCTTTGGTCTACAAATAACCCTACCCTGACCCTGGTGGGCAATAATTTGCCATTTGTGCATAGTGCCTGTGCGTAGAAGAGCCAGGATTAGAAATGAGGACAAAAGTTTCTCCATCTTTGAGGTGCAGTCTTATTCACACAAACGCTACTTTAAAATATCTTTCTTTCGTTCATTGTGACACCTTTTTTCGGGGGAGGGGGATAAGGAGAATTTCATCTGTCTACATAATAATAAAAACTGTTGGACTTTGAGAAAGTAATTTAGTCCTATGAGACATCATTTTCTAATCCGTAAAAGGATACAATATTAACAAACTCAGATTTCTTAAATGGCAATGTATACACTGTATAGGACACTAGAAACTGAAGGTACTAAGAGGTGTTATTTTTATAAAGGCTAGTGTTGAACTTTGAGATGTCTTGTCTTCTCTCGCCAACAGGCTCACAGCCACACTATTAACGAGTAAAGTTGCGGGTACATTGAAGTACATTGAAGAATCGATGGGAAGTGAGTAAAAGGAAACAATTGTATAAGTAAATACATTGATGTTTATTTAAGAAAGAAGGTAACAAACTAAAAAAAAAATGCATAAAACAAGAGAAAAAAAAAGAACACTTTGTAGGTTAGGTAGAGACTTGATGAAGATCAACCTGAGTCAAGA